CTGACATACAACACTGTACTCTTTTAGGAAAAAATCCATTTCTGGCACTGTCAAAAGGCAGCCCAAGTGGATAACTTCAGTGGTGAGGATACCAAGCATCTACCAGTAACCAGCAAGCAAAGGCTTGAATGGCCAAAAAGAGTTCAGAGTATGGATGAAGGAGCAGACTTGCTCATGAGCACTGCATATTTACTATGAAACACAATCAGCTTTTCATACCTCTCCTAGTACTCATTTTCCAGAGCATTTTTTAGAAAGAAGAACTGAAAAAATAAACAAAGCCACTACTATGCAGTAGTTTTCTCCGGGAGCTGTTTGTGAGCTAGGAGCATAAAAAAGATGTATCTCCTGCTTTCATGGAGGAAAAAAACTCAAAAAGTTGAACTAGAGGAAGTATTTTTACAATTGTACTTGGAGGGAACAAATGGAGTTTGGTGAATGAACGTCGATATTCACATTTGTATGAGTATTTGGAACATCCACTCTATATTAAATTTAAATCTCTTTTCTCCTTACTTGAATCCTCTTCCCTTTTTCTTTCTTAGCTGGTATAAAGAACCTGATTAAACGAAGTCCACTTCATTGCTGGCAGGTGTATGCAGCAAAACCTGATTCTGTGATACAGAACCCTTAGACAGGAGCCAAAGAGCTTATTTTTATAATGCATAGTGCTTTCATAGCTTACTGCCTAGTGAAATTATAGCAACTTTGTCTGCATGCCAGCCATTTTAAGCGCATCAATTTTTTTAATATGGGCAATTGTTGCAAACTTTTGCATTTTAATAGAATTGTACATTTTAGGTTATGACACATGAAGCACCTCAATATGGTAAATGCACATTAGACACAGGAAATGGGAACTTTCTTCGCACTGTTTTATGAGAAAAAGAATATTTCTGTTATCACTGCTCTGACATAAGACTTGTCTTCAGTGTTAATATCACTTATAAAGCAATAGCATAATTACTATTTTCTATTATAAAATGCAACAATAGCTCACTGACTTTGTGGATAGGGAGGAAACAGCATGAAGCTGTGCCAGGGGAGGTTCATGTGGTGTGTTAGGAAACGGTTTTTCACTGAGGAGGTGGCTGGCCCTGCAAAAAGCATCCACAGGGCAGTGCTCATGGCCACAAGTTGCCACAGTTCAAGGAGCAGCTTGTATCTGAATTACTTCCTGCAGCATGCCAGAGCACACTCCAGGAATGACCTGTCCTCTCAGTTTGGACAGTGATCTCACAAATGGGGTTTGAAGTGTAGGTGCTCCTTTGTGGAGCCACAAGTTGGGCTCAGTAATCTTTGTGGTCCTTTCCAACTAAGGATATTCAGTGATTCAATGATTCTTGAAAACTGTACCATTGGAATAGGTTTTCATTCAGGCAGTAAAAATACTCATCCTCCAATAAATCTGTGGGAACAACCTTGCACATGAAATAAGTGATTCAATACTACTGTCTGTCTCCAAAAGAGCATTGATAAAATCTCTCCCCAGGGATCTGTTCTAGTAACTAAGTAGCTTTAGTTTTCTACTTCTTTGCCCAAAAGAGTTCTAACAGACAACACTGTGATGTTTCACACAATCATGTTTCCTTAGAAAACTTGGGTTAAAAATAGCGTTTCTGGGTAAGGGTCTTAATTTCTGATTCTTAGAAGAATATAGCATAATATAAAGCTGAAGATTCTAGCTCTTCCCAGCACTGTCCCTTCTAGATCTCTCTGATAATTTTTAAATGTCTGATAGCATTGAAGCTGAGAATTAGTTCTTGTGGTATCTCCTTCCTGAGAATGCAAACTCTGAAGGTGTCAGTTTGAAAGAAAATACATCATGTGATGTTACCATTTTACAAATCAGTTATCATAGTGTTAAAAAGCCCCAGAAATGCAAGTCCAATTTTTTTCCTTTCCCCTCTTTCCTTTATACTCTTATATGTTCTAATCCACTTCAAATTTTCCAGTGTGTGTCAGTGTGTACTACGAAGAAGAGTTAAAAAAGAATACAGAATACACATTCAGGCTCTCACTGTGTTCCGATCTTTTGTTATTAGTTGTCCTGTCAAAGTCACTCTCAATTCTGTTTTATGCCTGTATATCTGTTGAACTGAACTCTCATTCATATTTTTCTTCATAACTTCATAGGAAGCACACCCGTTATTTTTGGACTACATTACAAAGACACTTCTATAAACTAGCTGTTGTGTTTTCCTCTGTGTTGTGGCTTAACTCGAGGCATTTTGTGCCTTCATGTAAATGCAGCTGTCAATTAAAGACCAAAAAGCTTTCTGGGAAACTCTCAAATATCTTAAATAATTGCATCCTCGTTCCAAATGTGACGCTTCATCCCATTTCCCCTTAAATCAGTGCAAAGAGATGCAATGATCCCTCTGCTTTGGAAGCCACCTCATTAATTCCATAGTTAAGTTTTTACAGAGGAGACCTTACTGCCCTCTGTAACTACCTGAAAGTAGATGCTGGCAAGGAGGGAGTTAGCCTCTTCTCCTAGGTACTAGGGATGTTATGAGAGGGAATGGCCTCAAGTTGTGCCAGTGTATGTTCAGGTTGGATGTTAGGAAAAACTTCTTCCCTGAAAGTGTGCTCAGGCACTGGAACGGGCTCCCAGGGAGGTGGTGGAGTCACTGTCCCTGGAGGACAAGAAATGTGTAGAAGTGCTACTAAGGAACATGGTTTAGTGGGAAGATATTGGTGGTATGTGGATGGTTGGACTGGATAATCTTACAGGTCTTTTCCACCCTTTGATGGATTCTGTGATTCTATAAATCGATTATAGGAGCTAAATAAGCAATATAAATGTATGTTTTTGAAATAGCTTTAGATTGTTATAGGTAAGAGGAAGATTGTGGCTACATCAAGAAAAATCCACTCCAAAGCCTTTTGCTGAGAGGTGAAGTTCCAGGAATAGCCTAACTATGTTTTTGAAAATGCATTTGGAAAGCAAAAATAATCTTTGTTGGCATTTATATAGTGATGCTTTTATACACATATATACACACAAAGAGAACAATTTCCCATTTTCCAAAAATATTCTATTGTTTTTGCTCTACAGATTACCTAACACTGTATCTACTATGAACTTACTAGTGAGATGCAGTGAGCAAAGTGCTAAGTTCTGTGCAAGAACTTAACTGTAACAGAAATATTCTACATATATATTATCAGTCCCACATTTGCTCAAGAGTTTCCTGGTCTGGATATTTGTCAGGGCAAGATTTGGATATGTAGTGTTATCATCACTGCAGATCGTCATTTCCAGGTGAAAGAAATCATCTTGTCCCTTAACCTGGAGCACTGAGAGGACAGGTCCCCCTGGAGTGTGCTCTGGCATGCTGCAGGAAGTAATTCAGATACAAGCTGCTTATAGCCTGTAAGAACAGTCTGTTCTTAAGAACAAAATGTGTTTTATAATAAAATTCCATTTTATAGGTAAATATGATCTGTGTCACATAGTGTCCAAGTGTTTTATAGCATATGCATATAATACATGCATTTGCTGCCAGGAAGGGAATAAAAAAATCAAAATTGGTTCATCACTGTGTAATTTTATCAAAATCATAGGATAATTGAACTAAACTGGATTACTGAAAAATCCAGTAAATGTCTGAATGTTTAGAAATGGAAGCTAAGACTTCAGATTTTCATTTAGTTTGTCCATGAATCAAGTATCTGCTCCCCTGAGGAATACAGGTTGGGTGTCTGTATGTGAGGAGAGGCAGAACATTTAGGGGGTCTGCAGAACATAAATTTCCCAAGGAACATTAGGGGGTCTTTGTCTGGGTCTAGACACACTTCAACCTTCTGTTTGGCAGACTGAAAACTCTTTTTCAGTGTGTGCCTTCTGAACTGCAGCGTCCCCACTGGTGAATTTCTGTGCAGCGCTTGTTCAAATAGAGAAATAAAATGTTTCAGTAATGTGAGATCAGATAACCTGAGAACTTACCATTAAATAATTATTTTGCTGTAAGAGCTGAAAGTTGGGACATCAGTAAAGAAATGGAACCACTTCAGGTTTTTGACTGTTTATGTTTTTATGCTTTAATTATTTGGTGATAAAGACACTATTAGAGGGACAGCAAATGCCCAACATGAGTATGCTGCTATCTCACCTCAACAGGCAAAAGTACAGGCACGTAGCAACTTACCACTGCCATAGATAAAGCTAAACAGGCTTACAAAAGAGATGTGTAAGGAATGGAATAATCAATTAGAAAAGCATTATTTTGAAGCAAGTTTTTTTTCACCCAGCCTTTTTTTTAAACCCTCTTTTCAGGGCACTGTCAAGTGATGCTGGAGGAAAACCATAAGAATAATACAGGAGAGCCAGGCAGTGGCTTTTCTGTAGCTCACTGATGGGTGTTGAAGACCCTTTGCTCAGCTGTGGACAACACTTCTGATTCTAGCTAGTGACTGTTTACCATTATAGACAATTATAATTCCAGTTGAAGTATGAACTATTAAATGACAGTTCCTGTATTTTATTTTCCTTGTGTCTCTTGCTGTGTCCAGGTAATCCCTACTCAAGCCATTTTCAGAAGCTTATTAGCTGATAAACTAGATGATCAAGTATTCATGATCTGATTTATCAAATGGAGAGCAATGCTCTGGACATATGAATATATTTCTATTCTTGCATAGTTTCTAAAAAATGTAAACAGTGGTATACTGATACATAATTCTTTGATATGCTTGTGCTGGTAATGTGTTTTAAGAAAACCAGTAAGAAAGAATGTTATCTAAAACAAAATCCTGATCAGTCACAGTGTTTGATCAATTTCATCTTCTGATCAAACAGGAACCTGGCATTAAAGCTGCTTTTTACCTCTAAAAAAACAGCCCCTACCTGTGTGAATTAGCTGCTGTTACCCTCCAGTCTCCCAAAACTTTCCTTCTGAAACCTGTCCTTTTCTGTCTTCCCCTTTTTACTCTTCTGTGTCTGCGCTGTTTATCCATCCACTGGCTGACAGTGTCTTTACATCCAAAATGCAAAGCAGACAGATGGGCGCCTCAGGAAAGAACATGACTAAGAGCACCAGCATCGGTGGGGACATGTACACGCTGGAGAAGAACGACGGTAGCCAGTCAGACACGGCTGTGGGCACCGTTGGTGGAGGCAGCAAGAAGAGACGCTCCAGCATCGGCGCCAAGATGGTGGCCATCGTGGGTCTCTCGAGGAAAAGCCGTAGCACATCGCAACTCAGCCAAACTGGTAGGAACTGGATTTTTTTTTTCCCCTCTGGAGTCATCATTTAAATGTGCATAATATGCATTTATTGTGGTTTATTCATTTGGCTGTCCTGTTGAAGTTGCCTGATCAACAGTATTCTAGTGAAAGAAGAAAATGCTCAAGCATTTCTTTTTAACTGGACATTCACTAAACTTGGTTTTTAGCAAAAAATCCTTTTCAGGTTGGACTGAGGCTTGTATTTCCTGCTTGCTGGACCCTACTTAACAATTCCTTTGCTTCCCAGGAGCCAACTTGAGATGCTGTTCTTACATTTGTGGGAACTCTGAATGGGAGTTTGTGCATGGTCGCTGAAATGCAATTGCAGAATTCCTTCTCTTTTGTAACATATAGAGCCTGTTTATTTCAGCACGTTCTTTTCTCACATTTGAACATGCACCCTTATTTTGAAACAACGATTTCCATGAACCAAATGTTCTGTTGTATTTTAGTGCATCAGTAGAGTCGTTTTATTATTTTTTAATACCTTTCTTTTCATCCTACAGGCATATTCACTATTGGTAAATATTTTCCTCATTTTTGTTTATGTCAGTTAAAATTCAATACTGAAATATTTTATCTAGGAAAAGTGGAGAGTTTTTCTGTCTGATACCTAAAGAATTTAAAATCTTATGCAGTTTTTTTATTTCTCCTATTCCAGGGAAAATCCATATAATGCACTCTGAAAAGCTCTCGTTGACAATTAAGGAATCTATATAGGACAAGTGTATTTTATATGGAAAATTATTACTTATATTTGAATACATATTCATATTATATATACATATATATAAATGCAGTTAAGCATGTTAAATGTGTGCACATACATATATTTATATATTTCAAGTTATATACATGACTTTTATTATATGTTCAGTATCTAAGCAAAATCACTGTAGCATTGTCATATGGTTCAATCTGAGTTCACAAATAGCATTCAGCCATGTGTAGTGCCATCAGGTGTCCATTGTTCTAAGCACCATATCAATATTTAAAAGAGATTTTTCAGTTCTTTGCAAAGTTTGCATTTATTGTGAAACCAAAGCTATAAGAGTTTCAAAATGCAAGTACATGGAGCAAATTGATGTCTTGCAGTGTCAGAATTTGTGGCATATTTTGTAAGTAGACTTTTGTACATAGAACTTAAGAGGGGATTCAGGAAGTAAGAGTTTGAAAGAGGGACAATAGTACAGAAAGAGAGCAGAGAAAGCTTGCGTCTTACTGAATATGGAAAGAGTCGGGAAGGAATAAGAAGCAGAGGGTAAAGAACATGCATGTGGAATGCTCTGAAAATCATGTAGACACTGATGAATCCATAATGGACAAGTCTTTGCAGCGGTCTCCTGCTTTAACAACTCATTTGGAGGTTATTGAAATAACAGTTTCATATATGTATTCTGTTTTCTCTTAGCTCAAATGAATGGGAAAATTGAAGTAATCTTCACACAGATCTGTTAAATATCATGTGGATAGTACATCAGTATATAACTGTATTAACGTACATGGATATCAAGTCATACATATTGCTCTACATTACTAGTTCTGATCTGCATTCATCATTTACTCTAAAAGACAGTAAATGAAAGCTCTCAGCTCTCTATGTGTTGTTCAAATATAAATCTCAGCACTAAAGAGAATCAGTAGCACTATGTAGATTGCTTAGATTTGATTTAAATACCATGCTGATTTAGTTATTTGGGATAGTAATTTTAATCTGAAGTTTCTCTGTTTTATCTAGTCAGTTACCCAACAACGGGTAGGTACTCAAGCTAGGGAAAAATGGTGAAATGTAACTCTTTCAAAACTTCTCAAGGTCTCTTGACCCATTGAGTGCAAGAGGATATTGTGAAAAACTTGTGACTACTGAGCTGCATGTCAGTGCTGTATGTCTCCTGCAGCAGAAACCCCAAAGCCCACATGGTTCTGGCTGGCAGCCCTTCTCCCTCAGCTGCTCCCTGAGAGAGATCTGCACTCAGGCCTGCACTTGGCCCACCTGGGCTGTACAGCCAGAGCAGCTCCTGCTGCTCCTTCTAAAAAGGCCCCTTGCGTGTAAGCTGGGTATAGGCTGCTTTGTACAGCTGTTACTGCACATCAGTTCCTGGGGTGCACCCAGGCTGTCTCTGTCCTGGGACCTGAAGGGGCCTGTCTGTTATTGGGGCTGCACCTCACAGGACAGGAACATGCATCGTTGAAATAGTTGGGTCATACAAGCATGTTGGTGATACAGTAAGTAAGCTGGTGGTACATGTCAGGAGAACCTCTAAACTGTCTGCAGTGAGACAAGGCAGTGGTCTGTTGGGTAGGTGAGGGGCAGGCCATATCGAGAAGTTTTGTCCTGCATGTCTTCAGCATCCATCAAGAAATCTTAAGGAGAATATTGGACATGTGTTATACAAGAATGCCAGAGGTTTAAAGCTTGCAATTACTGCACGTAATGAATTCATACATATTACCTATTTTATCTCATCCTGTTCCTGTTTTCTCATGGTAAGTGTCTGAATAAGGAATCGTGTTGGCACAGGCACTAATACAAGGCCTGATACTGAAATACAGAATGTGAGGTAAACTTTCTGTGAGTAAACTTTCTACAACTGCAAGGCAGGGGATACTCCACTTGCAAGGCACTGTTACTGTATACAAACTGGTCAAATTATAAAGTGTTCTTGGGTAGCTTATGAAGATATTATACTATTTGATTAGTCAGCTGTGTGTCTCTTTAGCATGTCAGTATCATGAGATAACTATACTTATACAGAAAGTTGTGATCATATTACAGTAACTTTTATTATATATTTTTTTTCTCATATTGAAGTCAGTAAGTGCCTAGTGGCATCTCTGAAATTTCCTTCTAGTGTCTTGTTAGGCATAATTGTGTTTCAATGGTTTTCTTCATTCATATTTTATAACTAAATTGATGCTAGAAATTTTTGAAAATGGGTCATTATAATTGCTGTCATACATGTGAGTCAGGCATACAGTGAATGCCTTAAAAAATCAATTTTTACTGTCATTTCAATTCAATGTTATTACTGTTATATGGCATAATATTATATATCAACACATGAAATATGTACAACCAAAGTATTTTTTATTCTAGTCTGTATTTCTAGTGCATTCCAGTAGGAACTTTTTGGTTTTTTTGAATAAAGGGTATGTTGATTTGTTGTTATTGGTGGGGTGAAAAGGAGTAGCAGTATTAATATTAATAATTATATAATTTATTATCCGTCAAAAGCATTTTGATTTCATTCAGTTATGGTTAGAGTCTATTTTGTGTTGGAAGACCTCTAAGGAGCGGGTTGAATACATTTGAATAAGCAGTAGAAGCAATGCTGTATTCTCCTCAGAGATATAATAATACAACCTTAAAATGTCTAGAAAATGGTTAATCAAATAGCTCTACTGAACAAGATCATCAAAGGTAATTTATGAGAGTAGAATAATAATTTAGGAAGTTGGGCTGACCTGATTTCATTGACACAGACACTAAGAACTGATCTTTTTTGTTGGTCTTGCCAAGAGAATCCAAGTATCCAGTACACATGGGTGAGATGTTCTCAAATCCATTACATGAAAAGATCTTAAATGGTGCCCTGTGAATCACTCTCTTTAAGGAAAAAGAAATACTAGAAAAAACTGCTGGTGTTAACACCACAGGAATACAGAAGACAATGAATTAAAACAGACAAGACTAATTTTCTGCTTTCCATTTTTGTTTAAGGAAGCATTGCAATTTATTTATTTATTTATTTTTAATTTCATATTAGCTTTCCTTGTTAAAATTTGTAGCAGTAGCAATGCTAGTTGTTCTTTGCTATCATTTGACTTAATAAAAAAAATTAGGTGTGAGAGAATCTATATTTTGTGACTTATTTCAAAGCAATTAGAAAACAAGGCCTGTAAATCTCTGTAATTTATTTATCCTTGAAATTAAGTTAATGGTTGGCTGAACAAAAGTAATTGTACTTAAGATAAGTTTAACTTAAGATAAGATTTAGTAAAATACAGGATAATATAGAGTAGATTTGGCAAGGTGAATCAGACTTGACTTTAGTTCTGATTTCAGTATGTTTTCACTGCTACAGAAAACCACTGAAGGAATAATCCCCACACTTGATTCAAGATATCATTCCTAGAAGGCTTGCAGGTTAGGAGGAGTTTATGTTATGACCTTTAGGTTTTAATTCCACAAGCGTTTCTCCTGGTGGAAAAGCTGGCTTCCTTTAGGGAAATAAAAGACAAAACGCAGATCCCAACCAGCATCTCAGTGGTGTTTGCTCAGCTGCTCATATCTGGAATTCAGTACTTTTCCTGCTAGACAGCCCCAAGAGAACTGATGACCAGGCTTGCATACAGGTACAAACCTGTAGCCTTCCATTCAATTTAGATCATGGGTGAAATCTTTGTCCTCTTCTGTCTTGCTTCTAACTCAAATGTATCTTCTCTGCCAGCCAGATAGGCGGGTACCTTATTTAGCTGACATGTATCTCCTGACAAATGTTTTGCCTTCTTTAATTAGCTAATGCCCACTGTGCTTATATGCTGACTCAACCTAGAAGCCTAAGCAATTTATGTTTTCAAAAGATTTTTTAGCTGCTAGACCACACTGTGACCTATACATATGAAAACATTTCCTGTGTACGCATTCGGTCACATGTACAGAGTCCTGTACATTCTCAGCATTTGAGAATGCCATGACATAATTAGGCATATGACTGCAATAGCTGACATCTATTAAAATGTGTCATAAAAGAGAATACATGTAATGTCATGACTTGATACGTACTAGTGCAGTAATGCCTGCAGAGAGGTGTGACCATATGTTTTGAGTGGAATTTTATTTTCTGCGTGTGTCTTAAAATTATGGATTCTGTGTAGTTTATAGAGTATTGAAACTAGGATCTGAAGTGCTACATTCATATGTAGAATGTCTTATGTCTGTTGCGAACCAGCCATATAGCCCATAAACTCATTTCCTCAGTTAC